AGCGACCTCCGCCTCGGACTTCTTTTGCGCTGCCGCCGCCGCTTTCTGCTCGGCCGCCTCCCGCGCCGCAGTCTCCTTGGCAGCAACCGCGGCCGCCTTGGCCTCGGCAGCCTCCCGTGCCGCCGCCTCCTTCTTCGCAGCCTCCGCCGCGCGCGCCTCTTGCTGCTGGCGGGCGGTGTCGAGCTTGGACTGCTCGAGGCGCGACTTCGCCTCGGCCTGAGGGGCGGCGGGAAGGCTGGTGGTGACTGGCGGAAGAGCTGCGGGTGTTAAGAAGGGCGCCGGGGGGGGGGGGGGGGGCATCGGGGTCAAAGGTGAAAGGACAAATGGGCGCCTTTTCCGCCGCCGCCTGGTGGGCCGCCTCCGCCTTCGCCGCCTTGGGTTCCTCCGCCTGCCGGGCCGCCCCAAAAGCCTTTTTTGGGCGAGCAGTCTCCGCAGCCAGTTTGGCCGCCTCCGCCTCGGAATTTTTTTGGGCTGCCGCCGCCGCTTTTTGCTCGGCCGCCTCCCGGGCCGAAATCTCCTTGGAAGCAACCGGGGCCGCCTTGGCCTCGGCTGCCTCCCGGGCCGCCGCCTCCTTTTTCGAAGCCTCCGCCGCGGGCGCCTTTTGTTGTTGGCGGGCGGTGTCAAACTTGGACTGCTCGAGGGGCGACTTCCCCTCGGCCTGAGGGGCGGCGGGAAGGCTGGTGGTGAACTGCAGGGCGGGCGGAAAAACTCCCAATGTGCCTGTGCCTGTGTATTTAAGGGAGGCGGCAAAGTGACCAGGGAAGTAAGGGAAAGGCCCACCTTCTCCTCCGCCGCACGCTGCTTGGCCGCCTCCGCCTCGGTCTTCTGCTGAGCCGCAACCGCTGCCCGCGCCTCGGCAGCCTCCTGGCGAGCAGCTTCCTCCGCCGCCTTCTTGGACTCCGCCTCGACCCGCTTCTGCGCGTCTGCGGCCGCCCTCGCCTCCGCCGCCGCCTCCGCCTCCGCCTTCTTGCTCGCGTCGGCGGCGGCCTTTGACTCGTCAGCGTCGCGCCGGGCAGCCTCGCGCGCCGCAG